AGATGAGTCCTCAGGGTCCAATTGCAAGAGAAATTTTGCTGCTTTTTCTGCTACCTCCACATTACCGTGCATCTTACACATACTAAGTAGAGTTCTCCAGATCACATCATCAGCCTCAATAGGCATGTCTTGAATAAGCTTCAAAGCTTCACTAATTTGGCCTGCTCTCCCTAGTATGTCAACCATACATGAGTAATGTTCCAATTGAGGATCTAATCCATAGTTATTAGACATTGAATTGAAGTGTTGCAGACCTTTCTCAACAAGCCCAATATGTGCACAAGCTCTTAGGACCGCAAGAAAAGTTGCATGATTTGGTCTAACATCCTCAAGCTGCATCTTTTCAAAGATCTGCAAAGCCTCGTCTCCAAGACCATGTTGTGCATAACCGCAAACCATAGCATTCCATGTGACAAAATCCTTTTTTGGTGCTTTTTCAAACATCAACCTGGAATCCTGCATGTTTCCACACTTGGAGTACATGTCAACAAGAGTGCTGGTTATAAACACATCCGACTGCAATTCTTGCTTTATAATTTGAGCATGAATTTGCTTTCCTAGCCCAACAGTAGCTAGATTGGCACAAGCATCAAGAACTGTTGCATAGGTAAAGTTATCAGGTTTTATTCCCTCTTCCAGCATTTTAGAGAAGAATGTCTGAGCTTCCTCACTTTGTTCACGCAATGAGAAGCCCGATATGATTGCATTCCAAGAAACAATTGTCTGTTCCTCCATTCTCTCATGAAGTTTCTCTGCCTCTTCTACCTTTTCACATTTGCAGTACATATCGATTACAGCACTCCCAATGAAGCACTCCAACCCCATCCCTGATTTTATGATTCTATTGTGAATCACCATGCCAATGTTCAAATCTTGACGAGCCGCACAGGCCTTTAAAACGCTACCATAAGTGAATTCATCTGGTTCCATCCTTGCCTGAAGCATCCGAAAAAATAGTATCAAAGTTTCATCCTCATGTCCATTCTGCTCGTGAGCTGCAATTATTGCATTCCAAGACACTGCATCTTTTATTTCCATTTCGTCAAACAGACGTCGAGCTTCACGTGGTGCTTCACATTTGCCATACATGTCCATAATGGCATTTGCAACACATACATTCGAACAAAAGGGAGTCTTACAAGCTACCCCATGTAGCTGCATTCCCTCTAAATGACCTTTGAGAACTGCACAGGCACTAAATGCACCAGATAGGCTTATTTCATCAAACCCAAGATAAGACTTCAGCAAACGCTTGAATAGTAATACAGCTTCATATCCTTGATCACCTCGAGCAAACCCAACAATCAAGGCATTATAAGATTGCAAGTTATGACTTGGCAACAAGTTGAATACCTTCCTAGCATCAGACAGACTGTTAGATTTGGCATACATGTCCAAAGTGGCAGTCGCTACAATGACATCAGATCCAAAATCAGTTTTCAATGCATGACCATGCAATTGAGAACCCAATTTTAAGTCAGATAACCCGGCACAAGACCTGAAGAGACTAGCATAAGTAGATTGACTCACCCCTACCCCTTCTTTTTGCATCTTCTTGAACAGCTGTAATCCATTAGCAAATTCATTATTTTGAACGCAACCTGCAATCAAAGCGCTCCAAGAAACCCAGTTCTTTTCAGGCATCTCATTGAAGAAACATATCGACTCATGTAACCTCTTGCATTTCGAATACATATCCACCATTGCACTCCCCGTCACCACATCAGTAGCAAGACCCAACTTGATCACCATCCCATGCACCTGCACCCCTAACATAGAATCTTCCAAACCCGAACAAGCTTTCAGAACAACAGCAAAAGTTGTTCTATCAAAAGCAATACCATCTCTTCCCATTTCCATAAAAGCTCGAATTGATTTCTGATAATTACCATTTTGCAAATGCCCCGAGATCATAGAATTCCAAGAAATTACATCTCTTTCAGGCATCAAATCAAACATCAATTTTGCCTTCTCCATATCATTAACCATAGAATACCCAAAAATCATGGCGTTCCAAGAAACTGTATCTCTAAGAGGCATTTTATCAAACACTTTATCAGCATAACCCAAATTGGAGCATTTTATGTACATCTGAATCAAACAATTAGTGACAAAAATAGTGGGTTGAAACCCAGATATTATCATTCGAGCATGGGCTTGCTTGCCTGGGTCCTGGGTGCATTGTTTTGCACATTCTTGGAATATATGGGAAAAGGTTTTCCTGTAGTTTGGGTGCATTTGATTTGCTACTGCAAGTGTTTTAAGTGCAGGGCGATGAACTTTTGAAATCATGCTATGGCGGGTGACAGATTGTTTAATTCTCCCGCCGGTCCAATTTATACGATACTCTTATTAACAACTATTTGAAAAGACAACTAACTCCTCTTTTACTACAAATTACTATCATATAGTATTCCATTTAAGTATATTCTACTTTCGAAAAATGTGAACTTTATTTTGAAAATATTAAATATCGATATCCGAATTGGGACCAAACACTAGCAGGTTTGATTTTCGAACTCCAAATTTCTTCATTCTAATTAACACAATTAAAAAGTGCTCCTAGTTAACTATTTCGCCAAGAAAAGGCGGGCATATCCACAAAATTGAATATGCTGATACATAGTTTGCTTGACCACCTAGTTTGATTTTTTTTTTCCCCGATAGATTGCTAGTAAATGAAGGGATCCTTGGAACAACAGTAAAATTGTCTTCGTTTGACCTATAGATCACGAGTTCAAGCCGTAATCGTACTAGTAAATAAGGAATTTCATAGCTTAATCCCATTATGCACCTGAAGCTCATTTACTAGCTGGGTATTTTTATACTACTGTCGCAATAATATAGGATGCTAATGATGATATGGGGTCCTCATAGTTTACCAAATATTTTGCCAGTTCACCGGTAAGCACATACTAAAAACTTTCCTTGGTTATTACTTGTGCAATAGATTTTGGGATGTAGCTCTGCAGCTGAAAGTAATTTGATGTCACATACAAGGATGAGGCAATGTTGTGGGGAGAAAAGGGTAAAACTTAATTCCACCAATGTTTACACTAAATTATGCAATTTCACCTTTTAAAAAAGGTGAAAATGAATCACCCAACCACAATCAAGTAATAATCATGCATATGAAAATCATGACTTGCATATATTGGTTTAGTATAATCAGTAGATAAAGTTGGTCTGGAGATTCAGTGGACTGGAAAAGAGTGCATAGAAGTTGACAGCAGTGACTGTCCTAGTGATAGGGAATCAATACAACTTGGATAAAGACCAAGACAATCATAGTAGCCCAAGTGATGCAAGGATGATAAGGGGAAAAAGTTCTTTGTTGAATTTGGAATACATGCACTACAATCTTGTAAATTGTCTAACTGGTGAATTCTCATTCTACTGAGCATGCAAAACTGAGATATCAATAAAGAAGCAAAAACACAGTATGATAAAAACATAAGCAACAATATTTCAGGATTCTTGTACTGCACTTCACTCGTCATCCTCATCATCATCGTCGTCATTTCCAGCAGCTGAATTCAAGGCGTTCAGCCTCTCGATCAACTTAGCCTTCCTTTCCTCATAAGTTAGCTTCTTTAGATTGTACCTGCAAAAAGTATCCAAAAATGAATATGCAGAAAGATAGCATAGTAAGGAAAGATAGCATATACAATTGGAATGGTCAGCACATATGCCACATTTTTTACATGGCACTCTAGAAATAAAGACAAAGTAGGCAAACATAAAATGAATTCCATATTTCAATGAGAAATAGGAATTGGAGATCCTTCAACCATAAGAGTAAAGTGATTGTCAACTTTGACCCATACAAAATATGTATGAATATATCAAATTTTTAATATAAACAGGAAGCACATAAAAAGCAGATAATGAGTTAATCAAACTAAAGAAGATGTCAGACCTCTTGTGCTGCTTGGGAGGCTGTTTGTCCGACTTCTTGAAGGTAGGATCAGCGCGTATGGCAGCATGAACTTTCTTGTACATCTCCTCGAGGCCATCAGCCTCAAGACCCTTCTTGATGTACTCACTAAAGTGTGACTGATACTTCTCAGGTTCATCTTCGATCAGTGTCTATAAACAGAGGGAAGAGGTTTAGCTTTGTGTTCACCTAGATGTAGCAAGATCATCAACATCATAACACTCCATTGAGCATTTGCATGGATTCGATGGTTATAATAAACTAAAAAAGGAATCCATATAGCCATTCTGTTTCACCTTCATGTACGTAGCAACATGACCACCATAAATGTAGTTGCGGTGAACATCAGCATCAAGTTGCTTAGAATCCTTGCTGAATCCAGCAAACCTCTTCTCACTGTGAGGGATATCAATTCCACCATCCAATGCGCCCTGAATACACCAAGCAAAGACTTGCATTTATTTACAGAACATATGCAAGATCATATGGCATGAATAATCCATCATAAAAACAAACGGTCACATGGCATGAATAATACATCTCAAATCTCAAAAGAGAAAAGAAACAGACCAATTTGACAGCAGGGAGGGACTCCGCTTAACTTCAAAATCCACATTATAATAGTCAGAAAGTAAACCACTCTTTGCTTTCCTCGGACAATTGTAATCAGGGTTTCATAACACCATATTCATCGAGATTTAAGCAAGTGGCTGCTATTCATTGAATGGTTCACAAAAAATAATCAAAGCACCTGTTACACCAAGTAATTTTTTAACTTGAAATAGAATTACTCCGTCTATCCCATTGATATGGCAATCTATCCTCTTTGGTTCATTCCAAAAAGATCGATACATTTCTACAATTTGGAAAATCTTTAATGTTAAGGTTTCAATATTACCCTTAATGGTATGATCTTATAGGAGTGAGAAGCTATGTTGCATGACAGATAAGGATACTTTTTGTATGTTTTAACTCATTGGCTTAAGTGTAAAAAATATTTTATTTCTTAAATCTCCATGCCCAGTCAAGCATCCACGTGATATATAATGGAAGCAGTAGAAATTTTGCAATGCAGTTTAGACAGAGACTAAGTGATACAGCACCATACCAAAAGCAGGATTATACCTTGAGAGCACCAAAGACACGATTTCCTGTAGTAGTCCTTATAAGGCCAACATCCAAGAGAGCACGGAACGGCCTCCTGCTTTCAGCAGGTTCAACAGAGTAATCCTCCCCATTGGCCTGTAAAATATTGAAATACCAGTTAACAAATAAAAGCCCTCTACAGAAGGACAAAATGCCCATAACACTACAATACATCTGCAATTACCTCAAGGTTCCCTTCATACTCCTCGTCCATTTCAAGCTTTTTGAGAACTCGTCGTGCCAAAAGAAGTCCAGTACAGTAGGCTAAAATGAATATAAATGAGTTAACAGTTCAATAAGAAATTAAGAACTATACAATTTCAAGTGAGATAACCAAACAAAATATAATATCTTGTGTGGAAGTACCAGCAGCATAATTTGTCAGTCCAACTTCAAGGCCATAACGAGGCAGCTCATTAGCATAAGCAGAGGCAAGAATCATGTCACCAGCAATACTAGCCGACACAATTTGTGCAATTATGTCCTTGTTAGTCTAGAAAAAATGTTTAGGAAGCAAAGCAAAGGACCAGCACAGCTATTGTGCCCATCACTCCAATCATGTGATGCACACTCACTGTAACAATTTCATAAACCAACCATGTAATATTAAATGGATAATACATGTCAAAACAATAAACAAAATTCCAGGAGGAAGCCATCACATTTAAGTAAGTTTTAAAGTAAAGCAAAAGTATTAGGATACAAATCGGACAACGAAACGATATTTTGGAGTGTTGTACTTATTTTTGTCCTGATTGATCAATCTGTTCCTGGCTCTGTAGTCTGTTTTCCCCTCTGCACGGTAAAAAAAATTCGAAAATGGTGAGTCCTGAATTGCAAATTTAAGAACAGGACAAAAGGGATGAAGACAATAGAAGCTGCACCTCTCCTTCTCTTGAATTTAACCTGGAAACGCTTGAAATAAGCCCTTGTCTTCTGGACTTTGATGAAGGCCTGCAACATAATAAAATAACTGTGTCAAGCAGAAGAACTGCATCAGATCATAATTTAAAATTAAAGTTCCGACTTCACCAAGCATCCATTTAAAGTAGCACACTTTAAAAGAAGCTTTTGTTGTGTTGGTACACTGACATTTCGTATGGTGCTTCTTAAGAGTCATTTTAGTTTGCTTAGAGATTTATATATCATTAGAAAATGCATAAAATTTAAATATTTTAGAGAACCCTTAGTTGGTTTTGAAAGACAAACAATTATGTATTTGCAGAGTCCAGATAAAACGGAATAAATATTGAGGATTCATCTCCAATCTCAACAAGTTTTGGATTGAGGTACATTTGTACTTTTTATCAACCTGTCGACATTTTCTAGGCAATATAGTTGACATAATAGCATTTAGCATTGATTTGTCCCAATCCAACAGAGACAAATAAAACATCATTAAAGATCATATTTGAAGTCTCAATGAAACCAAAAGAAGTGAAAAAATGAGATTTACATATTAAACCAAATCTAAAGGTCAATACAATCACAGGTAGAGACCAATACTTTACTAATCAAAACAAGATCTTTACAGATTTGTACATAAGTGTGTAGGAATGAGTGTGAAATTAAGTAAATCTCTAGATTTACCTACTGAACATAGGAAAAAAAAACTGCCGAAATAGAATGTAATAAACATTTTTTCGAAGTAATAGAGCAGAATATATAACCCAAAACTTGTTTGAGACTGAAGCGTAGTTGTATATATTATTTTAGTTGTAAATAAGCAAATACTACTATAATGTACTGATGCTCCTAGAAACTGGAAAAAGTTACAGCGTAGGCATATGAGAGCTAGTATAAACCATTAAGCTATAGAGTTATGATGAAGAAGAATACAAGTTATTGTTCGAAAACAAAAATGTAGCACACTCTGCTATTTCTCTTCCAAATATCGGCTACCAAATTAGATAACAAATCATCGAAAAAACTGTAAAGGAAAAACATGAGTTTATCGGAAAATCTCGGATTTGTGAGCCTTACCATTGTTGCTCCTTGAAAAAACTCCGGCGGCGGCCGCGAGGGAGGGGGAGTGGGGAGGGGGATGAGAAGAAGCTAATGAGAGGAGAACAATTGCTGCTGCGAAGCTAATTCATATACCTCCGGCTAAAACCCTAGTCGATGCGTACGAGAAAATGATAAAATGCACCTTTATTTTTTAGGTAGGTTTAAAATAGTCCCTTAAATATTATTTTGAGTGGTTTTGGTCTTTACATTTGCAACAATTAAGCACTTTTAGTCTCATCATACATTTAACAATTTT